TCAGAAAGGATATTTCCAAAGGGCAGATAATACGCAGTCCAGTTAGATTGTGGAAGCGAAGGATTCATCTCACTCAGAAAGGATATTTCCAAAGGGGAGATAATACGCAGTTCCTTTTGTCAGTTTTTATAGCCAGATGTGTCTTCTACACTAAGGTAGAGACTAAAAGCCTCGTGAGCGCAAAGAGCTTAAATTCGAAACCAATTTCAAATTTCCCGCGGGTTGGCAAATAAGTATCAAGTCGTATAGTATAATGCTAGGCAGTTAGCTGTCTCGAAGTTTGCGCACACAGTAACGGGGGACATTTGTTTACAAAATACCTCCTGTCTTGTCGCAGTTTCTTCCACCATCAAATACTGTTTTTAATTATATTGCCCTTAGTTTTATTGACAGTAATGGAATGTGTATATTGGAATTAGACAACATGCGATTGCCAGACTACAAATAATATCTGAGTTATGAAAGGTTGGCTTTATACTCCTAAATACGTTTAAGGTTATGGGCACAGCATACGCATTTGCAATGTTCTCTCGACAGGTATGCACGCTAACAGCTATCAAGGACTCAGCAATTGTATTTGGATAATGATTTTTGTCAAAAAGGTTCACATGCTTTCTGCTTTACAATTAAAAGAGAATAAAGTTTAACTATTTCCTACAAGTGCAATAACTCACGCACCGTTAGCGTTGGCGAAAATGCTAATGCTCGAATAAACTATGCCTGCATTAGCTCAGACTAAGAATAGTGTTGAATAGTCCTGCGTAAACAGGTCTAAGCAACCCATCGTTGAGTGACAGACAGTACATATAGCTGTAGCCTTTATTGTTGCTGCTTTTATCTCTTTTGACAAATCCTGCGCGAGTTCAAATTTCCAGAAAAAAATACAACTGTTTTCTTACTAGCATTTATGCGACCATCAACTTCATAACCTTTTTCATGTGGGACACGTATACAGTTTGTGTTTTGGCAAAAAGCCACTTCTGACCGTACTTGCTATGATTCAGAGGATAAAGATTTTTGAAACGTAGGCGAACTAAAATTATAAATGTAATTAGAGATAGCTAGGAAAGGAATGATCAATAGGATAAATTCAACAGAGCCTTCACCGTCTAACAACGGCAAAAAAGTTCAAGTCTGCCACCTAACCGGTACGCAAAAATATACAGTGTGCGCAGGCACCACACGAGGAAAGCTCCGAAGGGCTAACAGTATCCTTCAATTAAGATTTCGCTAGTGAATAGCAGTTAGCTAGTTTTTCTGAAATTTTAAACGAACTGACTTATTATTCACATTTATTGTCATCTATAACTACAATAAGGGAGCGTGATTCCTTTTATATTCACAAATGGTTGAAAGTTGCGTACACCTCTAACATATTACGCAGGCGCTTCATTTGAACACTTGGTGGCGCCTAATATTCCACTCGGAGTCTTGTGTTTATTGAGCGTTGGGTTTCTGAACAGTAGATCGTGGGCATCTGCTGCCAATAATGGCAACACAGCTGAAATTGCATCCTTATTTGTTCTTGCCAGTCTTTCCTAAGTGGTTTGAATAGAGAGCCCAGCATTGAACCGGCAGCCTCTAAAACCAAACAAGTAAATTCATTTTCCAATAGTTCGATCTGGCCATCTTGTTTAGGGATATATGCTTCAAATGTTGATTCTGCTAAGATATTTGATTTTTGCCGGCAAGGGCCTAGATAGCCGCATAGTTTCCAGGTTTAAAAGCTCCGATTACTTCAACATCTAAGAAGTCCTCAAAGGCTAATACGATGATAAATACATGTCCTCGCCACGCATTCCTTTATGTCTCCAAGAAATAGTCAGGCCAATTTCTCAGTAAAACCTGTGTTCGGTTTCAAGGAAAGAAACACCTCACCGATGACAACGTAGGGAGACGAGCTACACAGAGGAGGATCTTCGGCAGGTTCCCCGTTCAATGAAAGGAAATGCGCAAACATATCTAAATGTATTTGGATTCGGCTCATCGACTTTTTGATTTGGAATCGGGTTGGTGGGCGTAAAGTTAATGCTCCCTCATAAGTCATTTCGTCTCGAACGACAGCCTGATGTAAGCTGCATTAAAGGCTCTTGAGGTATTTGAGATTAGAGTGCGCATGAATTCATATTAAAACCCTATTAATAATTGCGGATCTTAAACGCACTTCTTTATTTCGGAAAATATTTAATTAGCTAATCAATTTCCGGTATATGCGGCTGAGAAATAGGATTTCATATGAAAAATGAATCAGCTTAACTTAGACTTGTTTTTTGTAAAACAAATATTCTATTCCTTTTCTTTTTCTTCACTCAACCGAACAACTCTGTCCTGAGGCATTAACCTGAACAGACCTACCTAAGTAACTCCCATCGCAAGTTAGAGAAATTGCTGTTAGATAATCAAAGGCGTATGCAAGGCGTAGCTTGCTGGCAGGGAGACCAATACGTTAAAGACAAAGCAAAGTGCGTCAGTCCAGGTATTTCTAACAGAAAACATCGGGAAATATCAAAAGAAAACATTACTTAGTGGTTTTCCACAGGCCGAATTCGGATTTTTAATCGAAAATATACCTATAAACTCCGGATTACAAGCTAAGCTCAAATGCTCCACTAATATTCTTATCTGGAGGTTTTTTTTAGGCTAAATAGTGTTTCACAAGGGCGCCTGGAAGACTCGCAATCTGCAGAACACAGACATCTACAGACTACTCTACGATGCTCG